CTATCATTACCGAATCTCGAGATATTGAAAAAGGTAAAGAAATCTAATTTCGATAATTGTACATTAACGTAACTATTTTCCATATTATAGAATAAAGATAATTTATAATTACGCTTTCAGTTGAAAGACCTAACGGATGAAATTTCACACCATTTCTTATACTATGTATGAATGCATTGTTGAAAAAATTCAATCACTTCGATAACTCGACTTGCGATTGTAACTGCCACTCGTTCCGACTCGCTACGCGTGGGTACTTGTTACTCTCATCTGGTTTCCTACCCGTATTTTGGGCTGGTTACTCGAAACTTGCTCCTCGTTGCGGGTATAGACTGGGAGCAATCCCCCTATTTTCTTTCGTTTTATTGTTTCCCTTCGTTTTATTGTTTCCCAGACTAAGACTGAACGCGCGGGAAATGGCAGAAAGGGGCGGAGACGAAAGGAAAGCGTGTTTGATTAAGCTCCGCCTACTTTTTTATGTGTCAAAACAGGGTCAAAAACATCTCGTGAAAGGCGCCATCTCGAATGACTTATAATTCGCTTTAGGATAAAACCATCAACGTGTATTTAAATTCTCAATTTTCAGTTTGGCAAGTGTGAATATTCATAATCAGAATTTGTCTGGCAGGAAAACGTATAAAACAAGGCAAGGAGTCTTAGGATCTATTGAAGGGTCTATTCTATAGAGTGCAACTTTCTGCAACAATATTTTTTGTGTTCGCCTCTGGGGTGTTACCTCTTGTGGTCTTGTGTAATAGCTGTGAATGACTTCGTTCTTCGTTAATTCAAGTTTAAAGTCAATTAAATCATTTAAACATTTATTAATAAATATACATTTATGGTTATGTCTTTTAGTTTTAAGTGTTGTCCATTTTAGTCGTCGTGAGGCTTCCGTTGCAGAAAAGCGTGAGTGTTTATCTAAGATTAGCTTTGCAGCTTTGTTCTCTAAAGTTTGAATGGAATGCATCAGTACCGAATTATTCTTATCACCCCAAATGCATGGTATCAGCATAATCAAACAGTGGTAGTATATGTATAAAGAATTAGCATAATCAAACAGTGGCAGTATATGTATAAAGAATATAACGTGTATCCAAGTCCAAGAAATCTTTGATGCGTCGAAGAACACCAAGTCTTTGATTAATTCTGGAGATCATTTTGTCAATATGCTCGTGCCAAGATAAATCTTCACTAAGAGTAACTCCAAGATATTTCATTGATTTCTCCTGTGATACTTTTTCATTCTGAATCGTAATGTTTACATTGATAAACGACTGCTTTCTGTTGGGGAAGATCATGAACTTGGTTTTCTTGTAGTTTAAAGTCAGGAGATTGTTAGGAGCTTTTGTATAGGTTTCTTTTCTTCAATAGTTTCCTGTTTAAATCTTTAATATATAGTTCAACATGCTGTCGTTCGCATTTACATGCATGGGTGCGCGGAAATACCAGATTTATTTCGAGTGTTGAAAATGATATATGTGAGCGCAGCGAACGAGTGAGATATCATGTTCAACAACACAAGAAATAAATCTGGTATTTCCAAGCATCCATGTATTTTTCTGTTTACTATATAAAGGACAGTACTTGAAAAGCGATAATTTCTACAGAAAACCGATAATTGAAAAGTGATCATTTTCACATGCATGTGAAATTATCATACATAATCTCACATGTGCGATTATCAGTTTTATCAGTGCTCGAAATCTCTATAAAGCACGTCTATATACTTTATATAATAATATATAGTAATTTTGTAAACGGATTTAAGCAACAAGGGCAGATTTCGTGCTCGACCAATTAGCCCATTTGTTTACATTTTCGTTCTCAGCTAATCACAATGCAGGAAACGAGAAATTTACACCAAGGCGAGCTAGAAAATATTCCCGTCTTCTCGCGCTTCCGTGAGATTCAATTTTAGCTTTTTTAATTTAGAACTAAAAGATTATGATGCAGCACATTAAAATCTAAAACATTGCCGTGGCCATTTTTAGTGTGAAGTTTCACTTCACACTATTGTGATGGCTGGCGAATTCACACGAATCAGTCAAACAGTCAGTCATAGAGTAAACTTTCCGGGGGGTGTATACGATTTATATTCGTAGTGATTTATTGTACTTAGTCAGTACTTTGATGGTTATTTAGGCAATTTCAGTTAACTTATTTACATATTCTGTTATCCTTTTGCCAAGTTCACAAAAATTTCGAGGAATCGCTTTCGTTATTGTATTTTTTTGTAAATTTTAGAACATTCGCTTCTCATGTTGTGTAACGGATCTTTACCCCGGAACACCCGATTTTTTCTTTAGTAGCGCAAATGCGCATGCGCTATCAAGCCGTAGATCACGATGGCGTGACGATATGCTAGGAAGGGGCGACAGTGTTGTTTTCAAATGTATAAAGATTTCAGACGTGAATATTGAGTAAATCTTTGAAAATCTACGCAATATATAAATTGATCTTATGCATTACGGCGTTCAATTAAGTGCCGATAATATTTAGACGGTATATTCATTATACAGAGCTAGGAAGGAGCTAGACCGCCTAGACAGTGCAGTCAAGTGTGTAAACATTTCAGACGTAAATATTGAGTCGAATATCTTGATTCTAGGCATTCATTTGAGTGCCGATATTATTTTCACGGTATTCTCATTATACAGAGGTACAGTACGTAGGCAGAAACGAGACAGTGTTGTTTTCAAGTATATAAAGATTTCAGACGTGAATATTGAGTAAATCTTTGAAAATCTACGCAATATATAAATTGATCTTATCATGCAGTACGGGCGTTCAATTAAGTGCCGATAATATTTAGACGGTATATTCATTATACAGAGGTAGGAAGGAGCTAGACCGCCTAGACAGTGCAGTCTAGTGTGTAAACATTTCAGACGTAAATATTGAGTCGAATGTGTATTCATCATACATTCTCATTGACTGTATAAGGTGCTACATCACAGAATAGATGGGTAAGATGGCTATTGAAATCTAAAGTGATATTTATATTCAACACATGCGAAAAGCTGAAAATAGACACACGTCACACTGGGAAAAGTCAAAGGTCAATGAAACTTGTTATTGTGAAACATGTCACAATTAAGTTAAAATGCGGAAGCGGATGGAGCGGATTCACGGAACGGATATGCGGATAAAATACGGAACGGTTGAGGATAAAATGCGTCTTTTAATGATGTAACGACGTAGTGCTTATTATTCATAACATATCTTATACAGCTATTTCAATTATAGTTTATGAGATAAATTTAGCATAGCAGTAGCCTCGTGGAGATGCTTTCAGCGACAGCTGCAAATGCAAATGAAAATTTAGAATATGCAAAATTTGGTTGTTGGTGACACAATAAATAGATGAATTGCATCAGTTTCACAAGGCACGTTTCTGATGTGTTAGGCTTGTTTCAAACGTCACGCTACTCGTGTGCCGAGCGTATTAAAAGCAATAAATAATGAGATGAAATGCCTTTGGTAAACTGTTTATTTCGTAGTGTAAGCCATCAAGCTTTTCTAGGTTGTCGGCGACCCTATATAGTTCTTGCAGTTTGAAACTTCACACTATCCTTGGATCCCTAGTTAAATTTCGACGTGTAACGGAAAATATCCATGTTTGAAATTTTTCCCTATGTCGCTTATACAAATTTGAGTAATGTGATTTGACTGCAATAAAACTAAAAATTGCTATATTATCTCTGCTTTACGTTTTTGTTGGAAAGCTCTTTTTCGCTCTTGTTGAAAATCGTTTTGGTCAATATATTATTTCATAACCTAGAAGATAACGCGTTTAGAGAGTCTGATTTTCTGCAAAATCGGTCGGACAATATATTTGTGTTGATTTCCCGTATGATATTACGAGCATGCGACTATATTTTTGTTTAAACCGGACGCTACCAGCGCGTTATCTTATAGCTTTTGAAGTAAAACATTGACCAAAACAATTTAACAAAATAAACTTCCAACAAAAATTTAAAAGCAGAGAAAATATAGCAATTTTTAGTTTCATTGCTGTCAAATACGCGACATAGAGAAAAATTTCAAACGTGGATATTTTCCGTTCTAGATCGAAATTTAAAAATGCCCACGGCAATGTTTTAGACTTTAATTTGCTGCATCATAATCTTGTGGTTTTATATTAAAAAAATTAAACTTGAATCTCACGGAAGCCCGAGAAGACGGCAATATTCTCTAGCTCGCCTTGGTGTAAATTTCTCGTTTCCTGCATTATGATTAGCTGAGAGGAAAATGTAAACAAATTCGCTGATTGGCCGAGCACGAAATCTGCCCTTGTCGATTTAAGCCAATCAGAATCTAGCGGTTCTAAACGACCGCTACGACTATGGCTACGACGAACAAAAGTCATGATTTCGTATAGACACTGCTTCTTTGGAAACCAGGATGAAAGTCATAGTACAAATATTACACAGCATGTTATTTTTTCATTTTAGTTTCGTCCGAGATGCTACCTTATGAGATTTTGGCGAGAGGTGAAGACGGCGTGAACGCGTTTAAAACTGCCGTGGCTGAAGGCACTGCTCGTGCCTCGAGGTTAAAAGTCATGGTTGTTGGTGAAAAAGGCGCTGGAAAGACAAGTCTGAAGCGGTCACTTTGTGGAGAACCTTTTATACATACTCACGAAAAGACTCGTGGAGTTCAAACGGCGTCTACCAATGAACCTATTATACAAAGTACGAAACTGGACGAGTCCTGGAAACACGCTGATCCTGATGTTTCCCATTATGATGAACTAATAGCACGAAATGTGTGTACGAAATTAAGAGAAAAACTAAGAAAAGGAAACCTCCCAGGTCTACCATCCTCCTCAGGGGAATCTGACCTTAAAAAAATATTGGAACGATTGGCCGTTACAACTTTTCCGGGCTTGCTGACTCCATCGCGCCCTGTTCCAGGCTCCCAAGATCACGTATCACACGTAGTAACTGAAACGTCGGTTACTATTGACGATAGTCCGCGCAAATACCCTGCGACGCTTGTCGCCAAAAAATTATCGTGCGCCACGACTCAACTTTCGAGCGTCAAGAAAATAATTTGGGATTTTGCCGGACATCAACTGTACGAGCCGATGCATCATGTATTCATGAACAGTACAAGTCTTTATTTGGTAGTTTTTAATTTATTGAAGATGTATAAGGCGCCAGAGAAGAGCATGTGCGAGATACACTACTGGCTAAATTCTATCGCGAGTCACACTTCATCCTCAACTCCTGTTATGCTTGTTGGAACACATAAAGCTGAGGTTATTATTTTTAAGTTATGCATTTTTACCATTGTGTACACTATATCTATAGGGTCTATAAAAAAGTTGGTCCGACTTTGTCATGTTATTGTGCTGCATTATATATTACGTACATTTATCCAGTTACATTTTCCCATACAAATAGAGATAAATGACTATTTAGCGAAATACGATCCGATTTAAAAATGCCGTTCAAAATCACATTTTCCACCGTTGGGAATTGCATATAAAGCTGTTGTATGAGTATTGAAATTCTTCCCTTTGTGGTTCAAATATAAGTCCCTTGAATAAAGGTATCCGAACGCATTGGTAAGCATCAAGTTTTGGTAAATTTCCACTGGCAATTTTGCACCTAAACGGAGTTGTTAAAACGTTGTAAGAAACTGAAATTTGAAGATTGAAATTTGAAGACCTATGGATAATTAACGCGCGATAACCTGTCAAAGTTGCATGGATTACCTATTTTTCATACACCCTATATAATTAAATTCTACTCTTCAATTGATTTGGAGTATACCGATCGACATAAGTTTTTGGGCGATTTTATTCTAGTTTAAACATGACGTTTTCCTTTGTCCTTTTGTAGATTGATTCCGAGTTTCTCGAAAAGGCAAAAGAATATTGCGAGAAGAAGTTTGCACAAATGTTCGGTAAACGGCTTGTGCGGAGTCTAGATGGCGACATTTTGTTCGCAGTCGAAAACTCGGACAACCATGATGACGAAAGATCCGGAATTTCCAAACTTAAAAAAGCAATTGCGAACGATGCTTTTGATCCAAGAAGTTTTTGGTTTGTCAATCAAGAATTACCACTCAAATGGCTCCACTGTGAGGAGGAAATTATAGAGCATCAAAAAAATCCAGATTGCAAGAAATGCTTGAATATAAGTGAAGTAAAATCATTCCTAGAAAACAAATGTAAAACAACGTTTGACGACTCCGAATTTAATTCAATGTTAACGTTCTTCCACGACAGTGGACTGATCCTCCTGCCAGGTAATATTTCATTTTGTTCCTAGTCCTACACCCGCGAGGTATCTTACAAAAACATAATGCTTCTTGGAAATCCTAATTAATTGCCAAATAATTATATATTATTGGTATATTATGTTTCCAAACGGGAGGGTTGCTGCATCTACTTTTTATTCAATTATGGACAGATTTCTAAGACCAATTTACCAATCGTCAAGGTCCTCATTGATGAACCACCACTTGCGTCACCACCTAATACATTTTCCTTTCCAACAGCATTAATAAATATCATAACGTTCACATGTAAAAAAACAAAAAATGACAACAATCTTCGCAACGTATGTAAATTCACGGAGGTAAATTTGGTCCGTCCTGTTATCCTATATATTTGCTATTCCAACCGTCACTGGAACATCTTCATCGATCTCCTTTGACAAACCTCACCTCGTCGTCAACTACACAATACCATAAGATACTAGTGGCTTTTATATAAAGTTTCTCCTGTAGTTTTTCTGTTCCTTTTAGGTGTCATGTATGATGTTGATGACGAATCCACAGGCAAAGATCTGGTAATATTATACCCACAATATCTGGTAGATATAATGACTTGCATCCACGAGGTTCCGAACGATCGTGATTTTAAACGTCAGTTTTCCAGCGAATTGCACAAGCTGAAACACGACGGCCGAGTTGCATGCGAGCTACTTGAGCAAGTTTGGAAAGATAAGACAGAGCAGGTTGACGTCCTCCTTGAATTGCTTTCAAAATTTAACCTTCTTCATCCTCTTCATTATGAGAGCGAAGGAGAAGCAGAGGAAACAGCAGGGCAGACTGTTGTTGTTACTCCAACAAAAGAGTTTATTATACCATGTATGCTTAAGGAAAAGTCTAATGAGAGCTTTAGTAAACGCTGGCTCAAGAAGTGCGGGGAATTGAAGGGTATGGCAGAAACTGAACATCAATTTGTATTTGATTTCGGCTGCTTCCTCCCTCCACCATTGTTCGACTACTTTTTGGTTCATGTGTATCGTCACAGTTGTAAAACCAACGGAATGATTCCTATCTTGCAAAGGCGTGGTGGAATATTCTCCTTCTCCAACAAATTCCTGTTCTGCACCAGGCTGGTTTTAAAAGATTGCCAGATTTGGGTCCGCGCCAGGTTTGTACTGATGTCTTCTTGTGTTTGCACCACCCACGTTGCTTGACTTTCCCATAACAGTTAGGCCGGGGGTGCTTGGTCCGTCCCGTTAAACACTGGGAAAAAATGTGAAATCAATACTATGAAATTTGCAATTGCACTATATACGAAATCCATTTATATATTATATATATATATATATATATATATATATATATATATATATATATATATATATATATATATATATATATATATATATATATATATATATATATATATATATATATATATATATATATATATATATATATAT